TAGTGAATGTTCTCTGAAAGCATCGCAGGAGGCATGGAGACCTGCACACTTTGTGCTGTCCCCAGAGGCCACTCACACTCCTCTTCCCCAGACCCCTTTGTTTCTGATTTCCAATTTCTCCCATTCTAGGCCCTGAGGCATTTGCCAGCGTGGATTCATGGGAACAAGTAAGGCATCCAATTCGTTCTCTCATTTAAAAACATGTATTGAGCACCTACCTTGTGCCGGGCACCATGCTGAGTACTGCGACCCAGGAGTGAACAAGACCGTCCCAGTCCCCTGTCTTTAGAACCATCGGTCTAGTAGAGGCCATTAAACAAGTACTTCCAGGGTGACATGGAGGCGTGGAGTGCTGTGGGAGCCGACAGCAGGAGAACCTGGACTGGTTGGAGGGGGAAGCTGTCACATGCATCAGGAAGGCTTTCCTGAAGAACAGACATTTAGGCTGAGAACTTAGCCAGGAGAAAGGGAGGGGTGTCTTGCAGGCAAAAGAATGTGCCATGAATCTGAGGTGGAAGCATTTGAGGAATGGGAGTGAGGTCAGAATGGCCGGGCTGGGAAGGTGAGGCTCAGAGGCGGGCAGGGGCCACGACAGACAGGACCGCATGGCGGGGATTTGGGGCTTCATCCAGGGCAATGGGGAAGCCCCTGGCACGTTCAGAATGATGTTGTTCAAGAATCACTATTCTGTGAGGAGAGAGATTGGAGCAGGGCAAGAAAGGCGGGTGGAAGGCCAGTGTGTGGCTGCCCAGGTGAGACGAGATGGAGGCTTTGACTGGGGCGGGGCGCTGGGGTGGAGGTGGAAGGTTCGAGAGCTGCTCAGAAGGTAGAACCAACAAGACTCGATGAAGGACCGAGGAGGAACGAAGAGTCAAGGACAACTCGTAGGTTTCTGGTCTCAGCAAAAGACGCACTGTAGGTCCACTTACCGAGATGGCAGACAGTGGAATGGACAGGAGTTTGGAGGTTCATTTATTCGTCTAAGTTTATTGATTTCTTAGTAAGCGATCAATAAATGTAGGTGCTGAAGAGGGTAAAGACATGAAAACAAGGCTGTCCCTACCCTGAAGGAGGGCACAGTCTAGGAGACAAAATAGAAACGTACACAAATAAATGCAATATGGTAGAATCAGATGGCAAAAATATTCTTGCTTTTTGAGCAAGTCATCCTGCTTCTGAAGAGGGACCCGAAGCAAAGAACTCAAAAGAAAACATCCATTTCAATTCAACAGACTCTTTATTGAGCAGCTGCTCACAGTACACCAGGCACCAACTGGCTTGAGGAAAGATAAGAAACATAAAGGTACCCAAAATATGAAACAAGTGATCAGAGCCACGGGAGAAGTGATGAGGGGTCACACTTCTCAGAAGGGCCTGCACACCCCCGGATGGAGATGCCTCCCTGAGCACGTTCTCCTCTGGACAGACTATATTAAAATATACTTTTCTGGCTATATAATGTTTACAATATTAACTCTCTAAATCACGTTTTAAATTGTAAATAAAACCTGTTACAAATAAAACTAATATTAATTTCTGTATAAAGCATTATTTATATTGGTTTGGGGATTTGGACGGCCCAATCGTACTTTTTGCATGTGTGTGTTTCAATAAAACTTTATTTATGGGATTGAAATTGGAATTTCATATAATTTTCCTATGTCATAAAATATTATTATTCTTTTCATTAAAAAACCCCTATCACATTAAAAAAAATCCATTACCTTAAAAAAAATCCCCAAACTATTCTTAGCTCGTGGACCATACAAAAACAGATAGCAGGCTAGATTTGGCCATGGGCCATAGTTTGCAGACCCTTGGGGTAGTGTTTCAGGCCAAGGGAAAAGACCAGAGAAAAGAGAAACTTCAGCAAATTCAGAGAATAGCAGAAGGTTGTTGCAGTTTGCTGAGTGGGAGGCAGGAGGTGAGGGATGTAGCTGGAGCCCATCATACTTTTGAAGCTTAACATTACTAAAGTTACCAGAAAATCCCGGACACCCAGTTAAATGTGAATTTCAGACAAACAAATGAATACTACTTCACTATAGGAATGTCCCAAATATTGCCTGAGACATACACTAAAAAATTGTTTATCTGAACTTATAAACACAGCACAAAGGTGACTTCTATGTTTGTGGTAGATGTAATTGTAGAAGATTTCAGAGGGAATGATACATTTTTATACTTAAAAATTCATAATGACCTCTTCCTGTAAAATGCCAGCATGTTCAAAGCATTACGCAACAAAAAACTTTTAGTATGTCTAATGCAATAGTTGGAATATACTTATGCTAAAAAAAAGTTGTTTACCCAAAATTCAAGCTTAATGCAAATGTAACCTGGTGTTCTGTATTTTTATTTGCTACATCTAGCAACCTTGAACGATGTACCCGGTCTTCAGCTACACATCCTTCTTCATGTTTCCTCATGACACAGCCATTTAAGAATCTATTTAAGCCACTTGTGAGCCTAAACCTGTTGCCCTCTAGTGGCGAATCTAGTCAACGCATGTACCTTCAACACCCCACAATCACAGCTACAAAGTTAAAAAAATGACAGTCCTTGATTTCATGGAGCTTGCCATGCGGTAGAAGGAGACATACGTAAGGCAACTGGTATAAAACCCCTCCCCAGGGAGCATGCTAGACAAACATATGGGTACAGATGGGGCACAGAGATGACTTCTACATGTGTCTGCGGAGGGGTCTTTTAGGACGATTTCGGAGCAGATGATGTACCTTTATAACATTCATGTTCATCTCTATGAGTAAAATTTTAGAGGACTAAAGGCATTGTAAAATTTGGGATTAGACAATAGAGTTAGGTACACAAAAAGGCACGATGCTACTTGTTATATATTTAAGGGCTAATATTGGAAAGATGGACTTTCTACTGTAGAGATAGGAAAATAGGTTTTTCTTATTCAATTTTCCCTCAGCTTCTTCCTCTATGATGGATCTAGAAAACTCAGTGGGTGGGGGAGGCAGAAGTGGTGCGTCACTGTGAGAAATGATGTTAAATTTAAACCAGCTACTGGGTGGTGTGATTTTTTCCATTTTCTCCCACTGCTCAAGACCCTTCTTTCCCTAAGCCAGAAGGTGTACTCTGCCAACTTTTTTTTCCTCGGTCCTCATTAATTACTCCCTCATCCAGATGATATTCTCTGCTAGAACATGGTTCCAAGTGGAGACAGAACACAAGAGTAGAAACCTTGTATATCTTTTTTATGAAAGATACTTTCAAATTCTCTCTTCTTGCCTTTGTTTCCTTCAGGTGAAGAAGATATTTCTATTTTGTCATCATAAATTCTCCACCACAAATATCCACATATATTTACGTTGCCCCCAGATCTGTAATTCTGTGATGACCCTAAGCCCAAGGAAAAAAGTAGTGAGAAAAACTGGGTATTACTGGTATTTGTCACTACTGTTAAGTAACAGGGCATTTCTCGGGTATCAGAGATAAACTGATTTATTAATATTTGCTTCCCCATCCATCATGAAAAAGAATGAGGAAACTTTTAAAAACACAAATATAGGATTCTCCGCTTGACCACAAACTGTGATCAACATCTAAGCCCAATGTGTCTAGATGGCAGGAGAGAGCTATTGACCTGTCAGATTGAGGGGCGTCCTTGGAATGAACTTATACTGATTGAGAGAAGAAATATTTGTAAATGGAAGGAAGCTCAGTTAAAGAAAGCAAGGAGTATGCAGTACCACTGCAAACTTTCACTTAATGAAGGTTGTATTCCAGCCAAGTCTTTATGTGAGGGTGTCAAAAGAAAAAAGCAAGCAAACAAGCTCTTTCTGCATAGGCTCTGCGCAACAGTATTGGCAATAGCGGTTGCTTCAGGACGCTTGATGCGGCATTGGGACATTTGGTACAGGTATCAGCACCCTCTATAATGAATGCCTTTTAAAGGCATCAGCTGCAGTACCTTTGGTGCATAAAAATGTATTGAGTACAAAACAAAACAAATGCAAAGACTTTTGGGCCCAGTGTTTATTATAAAAGATTGTGTACAACATCAGGGTTTAAGACAAAAATACAAATAAAAGATACAAGTTTGTTGCATAGAAACACTGAAAATGGGCTTACATCCTTCTACAACCCAATAATACAGCCAAGAACACCCAGCTTGTTCAATTTTAGATTTCATTCATTCTGTAATTATTTTCCGAGTATTGTCTGTGTGCAAGGCGCTGCAATGTTATAGGTGCTGGGGATACAGTAATGAGTAAAATAAAGTCCTCACTTATCTAGCTTCTGTTCTGGTGGGGGCAGACAGACATCAAACAGAACAAATGTATAACATGTCAGGTGGTTTGAGTCATGCAGGGGGTTTGGGGAGCTTCTGTACACCCCTGAATGCCTTAAGAGCAATTTGAGGGTGCTTTAAACATCATAGCCTCTTTTGGGGAAAAGATACAAACTCTAAATTATATCTTTAAAGTAACCTTTTTATATGTTACAAGTTTCTGGTGAGATTCTCAAGGTTCATAGTTCTCAGCAGATTACTAATTTTTTTTTTTCCTTTTTTTGTCTTTTTTCGTGACCGGTAACGGGATCACAACCCTGTGTCGCGCCCGTACCGTGACCGGCAACGGAATCGCAACCCTCGGTGTCGCGCCCGCACTGTGCTCAACCAGTGAGCAGACCGGTCTCTATATGGGATCCGAACCCTCGGCGGCGCTCCGCGCTGCTGCGCTCCCAAGCACCACACTCTACTGAGTGCGCCACCGGGCTGGCCCAGATTACTAATTTTTGAATTAGAATCTCTACTAATATTTTATGGCAATACTAATGGAAAATGGCCCATATCATGTATGTGTGCCTAAGTATATGTATGTATATATCTATGTTTACAGGCCTGTCACTACTTACATATACACATACATATATGTTAATATGTATTACCCATTAATATAACATTATCTGACTCTGATACGTCTTTTACATAAATTCTTAGATTATATCCAGACAAAGAACTATGAATATTATAATTCTGAGGCAATTTATTGGTGTTCCCAGTGCATGGCATTTCTAAGAATGTTATTGTTCAGAACAAATACTCATTGCCTTACAACTAAGCACATCCTGATTAAGCAGTATAATGAAGGATGGAATGGAACTATTTCTAGAAGACAAAGCAAGAAAAATTTTCTTTTGCTGCTGCTGCTGGCTCAGGTGCTTGTTCACTGAAAACCAGATAGTCTCATAACTTGAAGATATGTGTTCCTACATCTTAGGGACCTAATGATCTCACTGGTGCCTTTTAATGCTAATGTCTGAGTTTTCTCTTCTCCACATCCTGCAAAGCTGTTGTTTCTTTTCAGGCTATCCAGTCTGAGGCATCCTTTTCCCTGTGGTTAATGCAGGGCCACAAGTGCTGGACAGGATCATTGAACTGGCGCATTCTGAAAGGCAATGGTGGCAGGGTGTCATGACATGCTCCCAGTCTCCTTAAAGAGGCAAGCTTCCAAAGTGACAGGGCCTTTACAAACATGAGGCCAACCCAGAAGATGTGCTTTAAACCAATTGCCTCTGGTCAGAAAGATGAAAAGGTGTGTTCAGGTCACCGTAGGGATTCTCCAGCAGAGCTGTATTGGAAGAGACTCCTGGGCCTCCTCTATGGCTGTCACACTCTGCTAGAATGGCTCAGGAAGCTGGAGCGGCAGGGCCAGGAACCCATATGGTGTGGTCTGCAGACTTGTATATGTGCTCAGGGTGTGCTGATTGTCACAGCCCTCCCCAGGGCAGCTGCTTTCAACCTTTTCTTCTACCAGGATGATGCTGGTACCTCAGCAGAGGAAACTACAAAAGTAAGACTGGCCTTAGTGACACACACTCCCCAGAATGCCCTCTGTAACTTTCTCTTTTGCAGGTCCCTGCTGCAACAACTGGAGTGAGAATTCTGCCCTAGGGGCCACCCAAATTCCTAGACTTCCTGCCTTCAAAGGATATTCACGGATAATCCCAAATATCAAGTAATCTAAAAATAGGCTACAGGTGCCTTTGGAAAGCATTATATAATTCTTAAAATTAGGTTTTTCTTCCTAGTTACATTTTTTTCTCTCACCCTGATATTAAATAATTTGCATTTTCTTGAGTACATGCAGGCTGAGCAGAAGGGGTGCCTGAACAATGGCAGACAGTGTAGAGCAGCTGGCCTGGTATTAAAAGAGATACAGATGAGCCATAAAAACAAACAAATGTAGAGAGTTAATAATTAAAAGTCGATTACATATACTATTCTTATTTTCTCACCTACTTCTTTTCCTGCTAAATTATTCTACTTCTCTGTCTCTTCTGTCATTGGCATTTTCTGGTCCCAAGACTTCTTGCATACACTGTGACTAACCTGTAAATGCTCTCAGATCTTAAAAGTGTAATAATGACTTCTCTAATTAGGTGACTACCCATTTCTCTATGACTTCAGTGACTGCCAATTCTTTTTTTTTTTTCCTTTTTGTCTTTTTTCGTGTCCGGCAACGGATCGCAACCCTTGGTGTTGCTCCCACACCTCACTCAGCCAGTGAGCGGGAACCGGTCTGTATGTGGGATCCGAACCCTTGGCGGAAGCGCCACCGCGCTCCCAAGCAGCGCACTGTAGCAGTGCGCCACCGGGCCGGCCCAGTGACTGCCAATTCTAATGAGAAGCTATTGCTTTAATAAATTACGAATCAGGAAGTCTTAATGTGTAGTAAAAGATCACCTGGTTTTAAACCTAAACCATGTAAGGGAAAGGTAATGTGATGCAGAAGCCAATATCCTTGGTATAAATAGACAGAACTTCCCCAAACATTTTTAAGAGTCATCTTTCTGGCATCTGTGGCTCTTTTCTAGGATAAGCTACTTTTCAACAAACCAAGTGATAATGGAATTCAGGTTTTTCTAAATAAATTTCCTAAGGGCCTACCTCAGTGTTAAAAGACCCAATGTTCAAAATATCTCCTGAAAAATAATGAACCATAATACTGGGAATGGAGAACGAATAGATGACGTACGTAGTAACCAGCAGCACCCATGACAGCATCAACTGACAGAAACACACATACAAGCGAAAAATATAATTAAGAGATAATATGGGGCTGGCCCGGCGGCGCACTGCTATAGTGCGCCACTTGGGAAGTGCGGCGGCGCTCCCGCCGAGGGTTCGGATCCCACATACAGACCGGTTCCCGCTCACTGGCTGAGCGAGGCGCGGGAGCAACACCGAGGGCTGCGATCCCGTTGCCGGTCCCCGGTCCGGTACGGGGGCGACACTGAGGGTTGCGATCCGTTGCCGGACATGGAAAAAGACAAAAAAAAAAAAAAAAGAGATAATATGAATCTTGCCATGAACTTTTTGAAGTGCCCTCATACTCTCCTTAGCCACTACACATAACACAGCAGGACTTAAGTTCTCATTAGAAACACGGGTGGCCACCTTCTTGGTTTAACTCCTCATAGAAGACTGTTCCACAACGGGTCTTTCGAGATCTTACACACAGAAAAGAACACGGAAAACTTTTCTCCAAACTCCTGTATTTTCAGCTTTAAATAGTTAAGTGTTGCCTGTATTTTTAGGACCCATGATCTGAAGATGTTTTCTTTCCCCCAACAAGCGAGGATCCTCTTTTCAGTTACTGAGAGGAGCAGGGAGCTCAGGCTGCCAGTGGAATTCCCACAAAACCACCTAACAGTACACTGAGTTAATCTCTGGCCATATGATTTCCTGTTGTAGAAGTTCTTCACTTGTTTTACTTCCATTATTTTCATCATCATTAGAATAGTTTCCTGAATCTTGACTAGTTTGGGAATTGTATTTTTTGTTATCTTCATCAATTTGATTAGTTTCTTCTACCGCAGAAATCATGTTTGTATTTTCAATTATAAAACACCTTTCAGTTTGTTCCTCAGAAGTTGAAAGTAGAAGATTCTTTAATGGTTGTTCAGAGAAATACTAATTTAAGAAAGGAAAAAAAAATAGAAATGTATTCTTTAAAATAACAAAAATGCAAACCAACTACAGCTTACCAACCCTTTACCATTAGGTCTCTTTAACTCCAAAGCCTGAACTCTTACCTAGACTGCCTCCCAAGGCAAGCATAAACCCACCCCAGGTGAATGCACCTGCCAGTCTGTACTCTACGTGCAGGCCCTCAGCATTTAGTGTTTTCATGAAATATGCTAACCTCTTAGGAGTGCGAAACAAAAAACTGTGATGTGCTATGAAAGGAAACTCATGTTTTCATCAGTTGTTTCATTATCTTTGACTTCACCCACAGAATATACTTTCTACACTGATAGATGTTTCAGTCTTTTTGATATATCGTGAAGAATCACAAAGACTTTAAATGGTAAAACAACTGCCATAGAAGCCAAATTGCCAGAAAAATATGAGATTAAGGACAAGCCTTAGTATTCCATGCTATGTTATTATGCTACATGACTGTTTCTAAACTTAACTTACGAAAACTTTGAAGAAAATATCCTAATCAGGCTGTATTATTTTCTGGATACCAAGAAAACTTATATATTCTGTTGAAATCAAACATACAAGGGTACTTCACAAAGTTCACAGAAATATTCGTATTATTTTTTAATTCTGTTTTTTGATGAACATTTTGAAGTACCTCATATTTCCTGTTCATTTCCTAGCTCTTGACAAAAAAAGTAACATACCTCAGCCACATGGGAAGGTTTAACTGATGGAAAGAACACGTAATTGATGCACCTCCAGAGGCCTTTCACAGCACAGATGACAACTGCGACAGCAAATAATGCAGTGCAAATTCCAGCTATAAGCCTAACTTTAGAAGTATGTCCTGAAAATACACAAATAATGTTTAGCATCAATACATGTTCTGACACACGAATGCGTTCATAGTGCTGACAGCTTATGTGAGAGACTAGCCATATGAGAGGAAATGTAAAATCTATTAAATAATACCCTTAAAAATATTTCTGGTAGCACTGAGTACACAACTGTAGGCAATGACATCTACATTTAAAGACTGTCCTGGGAACTGAAGTAAGAGATCCTTTGGGAAGAATAAAGTATTGACATGTAGGCCCAGACCCGCAAGTATCCTTCAGCACTTCTACAACATACAACTAGCAAAATTTTAAAATACATTCTGTGACTAAGGCTCCAAGTCAACACCAGAAACTTTAAAAATATAAAATGAGATTAAACCATTCCCACATTAAAAAAATTCACAATTGAACTAATTAAGTGATTGCCACATGATAATTATATTAAGGATTATGGAAGCAAATTTAAAATGAAAAGTCTCGGTAATGGGCCATAATAATCAACCACATTGTATATTGACAAAATAAAAATTTAAAGGAAAAAAAAAAAATAAAATAAATAAATAAAAAATAAAATAAAATGAAAAGTCTTACTAAATGCTGGAGAGCAATAATTAAAGAAATTAATTATGTGGATACTGGATGAATTATAAAGCATTCAAAAACACTGAACTGAGTTGAACATTAAAAATATTTTGTAAAACTGAAAGACTTAGCTTGAAGGTCTACTTTTGATTCATCTAGTTCATGAAGAAAATACTCTATTTTTAGCAGTTAAGAGTAAATATTTTACAATTCCAATGTACTGAATTATTTTTACATCTAGCTACATTAAAAAAAAAAAGATATAATAGAAGATTCTGACCTGGTTTTGTTTTCTCACACACAATCTCACTGAAAACACTGCTTTTATTCCACTTTCCATTCATAAGATGTGCTCTGGCTTTGACACAATATACAGTCAGCGGTTGTAAGTTAGGAACAGTAAAATCAGCATTTTCCTCTAGCATTTTTCTCTATAAAAATAATTAAATCATTGATAAAATTTAGTCACCTCATGAAATCAGACAGGAAATATCTATTTTCTGAATTCTTTTACATTCAATCTAAGATTGGCCTCTCCCACTCAGGTGGCATGTGTTTAAGAAATACAAATTTGTTTTCAGCAACTAATTATGATCAAATCAAGACAGTTAAAAATGCTGCTGCTGCCTAAAACGCATATGATATATTCCTAAGACAACTCCAATTTAAGTACATGCTGATTTGATTTCATTGCCATTGTATTATGTCTGGTTTATGATAGAATGGTTCAGTGTAGGGGTTTTGGCCTCAAACTGCCGTATTATGGTATCACGTACATCTGTGTAGCCTTGAGCAAGTTAATTTCTCGGTGCCTTCTTTTCTGACCTGTAAAACGAGGACAATTACTGCTCCTATCTGTATTAGTTAGCTATTGCCACAATACTGTTGTGTAACAAATCCACCTCACCATCCAGTGGCTTGAAACATAACTATTTCTTCTTCTCACTCACAAGTGTATGGATTGGCTGGGGGAGCTCCCCCTGAGGCCATGGATGAGGTTTCGGTCTGCTCCACCAGCCTCTCATCCCCCTTGGACTACAAGTACGTGGAATACGCTTTCCTTCTGGCAGACAGGAGAAAACATAAGAGCCAAACCAAACCATGCAAGCACACTTAAGGCCTCAGCTCACAGCGCACCCACTGAGGCTCCACTGTCTAAAGCTCAGCATCAGTGGAGCAGGGATAAAGCCTCCATCCCAAGTATGTATTAAACAGCAATGTAATGGACCACACCGTTTGGCAGGTGTGTTTTGAAGAATGAATGAGATAATTCAAGTAAAATACTTAACATAGTAGCTGATGCATACTAAGTATTCAATAAATGAGTTACTGTTATCATAATTATTGATGTATTATTATCTACCACAGGATCGGGTGGCGACTAAAATATATCAAATCTTTACTGTTTGTCAAATGATGTGCTAGGTATTTTCATATATGTTACCTCATTTGAAACCTTATAAACACCCTTTTGAAAAACTTAGTTGCTAGGATTACCACCACTGGCAGGTGGGAAACAAAGTCTCAAAAAGATAAAGCACCTTACCTGAAGTTATACAATCTGGTAGCGTGAGACACAAATTTAGGTTTGTCTGATCCAGGGACAGTCAAAAACTGACCATAATTCTCAATGGCCTAAATTATGCTGTGGTTACAGTAGTCAGATAGTCAAAATGAAAAGAGCCAAGTCATTCCTCAGATCTAAGCAATATGCTTAGATTTCCAAAAGAAAATGAAATTACAGAATTTACCAACTCTACTGCACAAGATTTTTAAAGGTTGATTCCTTGATTGTAATTGCACAAAGGAAAAGCAATCTAGGAATCATGCAGATTTTAGGACACTGTGTATTATCTTTGCCAGTGTTTTTTTTTTTTTTTTTGGTGGCTGGCCGGTACGGGGATCCAAACACTTGACACTGGTGTTATTAGCACCACACTCTACTAACTGAGCTAAATGGCCAGCCCCAGTTTTTGAATTTATGTTTAGACCAGTGTTTCTCAACTCTTTTTTTATTACTACCGCCCTAAAGAGACTTCTCAGATAATTTTTTTCTAATCCCTCCCCCATCATGGAATTAAATACTAAGGAATGAGATTTTGTTGGGCAAAGTTGAACTCTGGAGGCATGCTTTCTCTCTTGAGGGCCACAAAGGATTGTGATATCTAAGATTCTTTTGCCCCATGAGAACCAATTTTTGTCCCCTTGGAGGTGCCACCAGAGGACATTTGACAATGTCTGGAGATTGTTTTTCATTGTCACAACTGGGAGGGAGTGCTACTGGCATCCAGTGTGGAGAGGCAGAGGTGATGCTAAGCATCCCACAATGCACAGCACAGCCCCCAAAAGGAATTATCTGGCCCAAATGTCAATAGTGTTGAGAAACCCTGGTTAGATGAATAACTGGGAATCATGTTAAAAGTGCAAATTCCTGGGCCGGCCCGGTGGCGCACTGGAGAGTGCGCCGCTTGCGAGTGCGGCGGCGCTCCCACCGAGGGTTCGGATCCCATGTGGAGACCGGTTCCCGCTCACTGGCTGAGCGTGGTGCGGGCGCGACACCGAGGGTTGCGATCCCGTTACCGGTCAGTAAAAAAGACAAAAAGGAAAAAAAAAAGTGCAAATTCCTGAGTTCTACCCCCAGAGATTGTGATTCAGTAGCAATGGGCTCAGGAATCTGTTTTTTAAAATCAAACTGGGCCCAGATGCAGGTGATACATAACTCTACCACGCAAAACATGAAAAAAAAATGCTAATATTCTTCATATTGTAAATATCTGAGTTAATCACCTAGTCTTAAAGTTTAAAAACTTCCCCCAAATTTTACATTCAAGCTTTGTTTACCCCAAATCACAGCTATGACTCTAAGTTACAAAATTATACAAGTACAGTCTTTTTACCTCAGCATTTGAAGTGTTTTTCCAAAAAACAATTTCATAAATTGGTGGGTAATCCTGGCTCACAGGTCTTTTTTCAGACTCTTCTGAGTCACTGACATAGATACGCATTGAATCGCTACTGGATTTTATGTTAATGACTGGAGGAAGCATGATAGCTAGAAAAAATTTGTAAAGACATAATGTTCAATTAGAAAAACAATTTTAAGAACTTGCACCAAATCTGAGAATTACGAACTCAAGTAAAAACTATTGACTTACTTTGTTGTTCAGTATCAAGTTTTTTCTCTTCAGACCAAAGAGATGTGTTATTTCCATCAGATGCCCGTACACGGAGAAAGTAAATTTCTTTTGAGGATTTTTTTTGAGGAATGACACACTGGGTAATTTTGATATCTTCACAGTTAGGTATTGATTCCCATTTATCTGAATAGTTCTCAGAATCCCTTTTTAAATAGGCACTTTAAAGACAAATTTTTATTTTTAATTCAAACACATTAATTCAATAAATATTCATCGAGTATTTATATAAGTATTTATAGTATGCCAGACACTCTGTTAGGGCTTAAGGTTAGAGAAATAAAGTTCCCACCCTCAGGAAACTCACAATACAGTGGAAGAGACATGTACCCAAGGCAAAAGAAAACCAAAGATTGCCCCAGCATGTGATAAAGTAGTAGTGTGTTAGAGGTGGCTCATGCCAATGTGCACAACTGTTAAATTTTCAGGAATGCTTCATGCTGGTTTTTAAACATAGCCATTACTAAAAGTTGTTATAAAAACTTGCAAATCAAAGATAATAACTACTCAAAACTCATCTTGTCCTAGTTCCTTTACTGTATTTTATTATCCATGTTTTTGAGGCTATTTATGTCTATTGTATCTATATGGTAGAAATACATAATGTTGTGCGACTGTGCATATCTTTCCAATTCCACATTAAAGGATATCATGCTGGTAGCTTGAAAATGGCACAGTGGGAATATTTATAGCACAATAATCAGCAAGCACTACAAATAGGACTGTTCCCCTCTGGAAAGCCATGTACCAGTACATCAACGGATTAGTGCTGTAATAGATATACACGTCACAGTGTTATGAGAGCAAGTCTGAATGAAGTATTGGCACTCAGCTGAGACTAGACGGGTTAAGTAACTTGCTCAGAAACCAACATCTAAAAGCATCTCAGTTCAAGTCTTGAACAACAATACCCTCTTAACTGATTTCCTAGTCTTTGGTGTCTCCTTAGTCCACTGCCCACATACAATGAAGCCACATACACCTTCCTCAAGCACAGCTAGCCCTCCATGTCCATACGTTCTTCACCTGTGGGGTCAACCAACCACGCATTGAAAATATTCAGGAAAATCAATGTTCACAGATACGGGCCTGTAGTTTTCTTTTTTGTGGTGATGCTGGCCTCAGAAAATGTGTTAGGAAGCATTCCCTCCAGCTCTACTTTTTGGAAGAGTTTAAGAAGTATTGCTATTAATTCCTCTTTCAAAGTCTGATTGAATTCAGCTGTAAAGAAATCTGATCCTGAGCTTTTCTTTGTTAGGTTGGTATTACTTCAATCTCTTTCTTTGTTATCAGTCTGTTCAGGCTTTCTATTTCTTCCTGATTCAACATTCGTAGGCTGTTTCTGTTTATTTGTTTTTAGGAATTTACCCATTTCCCCTAGGTTATGAAATTCGTTGGCACATAATTGTTCATAATAGACATTATGATCCTTTTCATTTCTGAGGCATCTGTTATAATGTCTCCACTTTCATTTCTGATTTCATATATTTGAGTCTTCTCTCTTTTTTTTCTTAAGTCTAGCTATGGGTTTTGTCAATTTTGCTTATTTTTTCTAAAAAGCCAACTGTGAGTTTTATTAATTTTTTCCATGGTTTTTCTATTCTCTATTTGACTTGTTTCTATTCTGATCTTTATTACTTTCTTCCTTCTGCTAACCTTTGGGCAAATAAAATTTCCCTTTTGATTTCTTCTTTGACCCATTGGTTGTTCAGGAGCATGTTGTTTAATTTCCACATGTCTGTCAACTTTCCAAAATTTGTTATTCATTTCTAGTTTCATACCATTGTAATAGGAAATAATACTTGATTTGACTTCTGTCTTCTTAAATTTGGTGAGACTTATTTTGTGGCCTAACATAATACCTATCCTGGAGAGTGTTCCACGTGCACTAGAGAAGAATGTGTATTCTGTTGGTTTTGGACTAAATGTTCTCTATATATGTTAGGTCCGTTTTGTCTAAATGCAGTTCAATTCCAGTATTTCCTTATTAACTTTCTGTCTGGTTGATCTGTCCGTTGTTGAAAGTGGGGTATTAAATTGCCCTACTATTATTGTATTGTTACCTGTTTCTCTCTTCATTTTCGTTAATATTTGCTTTATATATTTAGGTGCTCTGATGGTGGGTACATATATATATATATCCACATTTACAATTTTTATGTTCTCTTTATGAATTGAACCCTTTTTCATTAAATAATAGCTTTCTTTGTGTCTTGTGAGTTTTTGACTTGAAGTCTATTTTATCTGATGTAAGTATAATCATCCACTCTCTCTTTTGGTTTATATTTGCATGAAATTATCTTCTTATATCCCTTCACTTTCTGCCTATGTGTATCCTAAGGCTAAAGAGGGTCTCTTGTAGGCAGTATATACTCAAATCTTGCTTTTTTATGCATTCAGCTACTCTGTCTCTTGATTAGAGAATTTAATCCATTTATAAATTCAAAGTAATTATTGACAGGTAAGAACTTACTACTGCCATTTTGTTAACTCTTTTATGGCTGTTTTGTAGATCCTTTGTTCTTTTCTTCCTCTCTCGTTTACCTTTGTGATTTGGTGATTTTCTGTAATGCCAAACTTTAATTCCTTTCTCTCTACTGTTTGACTGCTATAGATTTTTGCTTTGTGCTTACCATGAGGCTTACACTAAATACCTTGTAGTTATAATAAACTATTTTACTAATTATCAACTTAACTTCAGCTGTGCTGTAGACTGGATCCTCCCCCACCCACCCCCACCCCACTGCCCCAACCTCATTGAAGCTTAAATCCCCACTGTCCAGACTGGGGAAATAATACATGCAACTAGAGTCACATCTTTTTAATAAAACAGCCAGTAAAAACCCTAGGTATTAGAATACATCCATTTTACAACAAATAAAGAAACTGAGGCCCACAGACATTAAGTGATTAGATTAATGTCATCTAACTAGTTACTGGCAGAGCTGGGGCTGGAATTAATTTTCCCAAGTTGCCAATATATCATATCCATCTCTCGGTCATTCTATATGCAAGGAGTTATAGGTGGCTGAAGTAAAGTGAAAAGAAGCATGATCAAACCAGGTATAAACAATCATAAATAAATTGAGTGAAAGGAAGTTTACGGAATAGAACTTACTGGAGCCTCTGAACTTGAAATGTCACGTTTATATATGCATAATCCCATTTCAGAACATAGCTGTGATTTTTAGCACTGATTTCTATATTTTCTGGTGGAAGCAGTTTATTTTCAACTAGAAGCCAAAGAATACATTAAAAAAAGCATACATTTTTATTCTAGTGAGTTAATATATGGCAAGAATTCTTAACAGCATAGGCAAGAAGATTAAATGCTTACATTTTGTCATTATAATAGTTAAATAAATTATGGTGCATATTCACACAATGTAATACTATGCAGCCATTTAAAAGAATGTGACAGATATGTATGGATGGATATAGAAAGATATCCTCAATATATTAGGTTAAACAAACAAGATGTAAAACGTACCTAGCAGGATCCTATTTTTCAAATTACCAGAACAAAACCCAAAAAACTATGGGTCTGTGGATATACTCATATAAGTTCTGAAAAAACTATGAAAGGGTATACACAAACTGCTAGCAATGCTTATCTCTGGCAAATGAAATTGGAGATAAGAAGGCAGGAGAGAAAAACTTTACTTTAAAGCAATGACCTTCCCCTTTTTTGTGGATTCTGAACAAATAAAAACAGTTTTTGTCATTTAAAAATATTTGGACTTTTAAGTAGAATTACTTTTCATTACTATTTACTTGAGACAAAAATCCCAGACAGCATATTTTTGCTTATATAAATGCTGTTATAATGGTTTGAATATCTATTAAGCCATTATATAAACTTCAGCAACTACTGGGAAAATGCCAAAACTAATGTAATATTGCCAATCTATATATATTGTTATTGAATCTAAAGCAAAACATCCTCCTTACCTGTGGTACTGATACAATGCACTGGACTATAGACACCAACTTTCATCTGCAAATATAGTTCTGCTTTAACTTTTAAACAGTATATAGTCTCTGGTGAGAGTTTATAAATTTTATCTCTAGCATGAACAGTTTCAGCTCTTTCCTATAATAAAAAATTGAAGTATGTTCTTTTAAAAAAAGTATAAAGTCAAATTTTAGAATTAATTCACCTCATTTTTCTCTCACATCAAACAAAGGTTAAAAATAATGCTTACTTCTATACTTGAAGAGTTTTTCCAGATAACCAAGCTATATTTAAAGTCCTCCTGATCCCACATGGCACTATTTTTTGTTCCAGGAGGAGAGATGTTTATTATTATTGCCTTATCTTCAGCTTCTAAATGTACTTCTGGAGGACCAACTTGAGCTGTAAAAATCAAAACAATTACTATGCAACTTTATTAATACAATACCAAAACTCTCATTCAACAAATAATTCTGAGTGCTTAACAGAGGCCTGGCATAGCAAAACAGAGGAAGTCCCTCATGGAGCTTATACGCAAGGGGGATATGGCAAAAAACCTCAAACAAACATAGAATATCATGTGGGCTATAAAGAAAAATAAAGTATAAAGGGACAAAAAATGGTAGCAAGTGCTGTTTTAGGTAAGTTAGTCAGGAAAAGCCCCTCTGAGAAAGACATTTGAACTGCAGCCTGGCTAACGTAAGAGAGTAGACATGCAAATATCCAGGAAAAAAGTATTCCAGGTTAAGGCAGGATCAAGTGCAAAGCTCCCCAAATGGGAATGTGTTTAACATTTTCAAAAGACAGTAGGGGGCTAGAATGGCTGAAAGTGGTTGAAAATGAGATGAGTGAGAGAGGTGGCTGGAGGCCAGATAATAAAGGAAGAACTTTGCAGTCATAGCAGAGTTTGTGAAGTCATCGGAGGGTTGAGACTGGAGAAGTGCCATGATCTGGTTTACATTTTAGGAAGATCATCCTAGTTAATGCATGAGGAAGCAGGCTACTGGTAAGAAATCAAGCGAAAAATTAAGAGGCTTGGGAAAAGGCTGGTAGCAGGGACAGAAGTGAGAACAAATCAGATGTACTTTGAAGATGGATCAGAAGGAATTTGTTGATTGACTGGATGTAGGATGTGAGAAAAACAGGTCTCAAAGACGACTCCAAGCAAACAAATAGGTAATGTCATTAGCTGAGATGAAAAAAACTGCAGGAAGAGCAGGTTTTGAGGGAAAAATCAAGAGCTTTATTTGATCGTTTTCAATTTGAGATGACTTTAAAGATCTAAGTAGACATGCTGCATAGAGACGGTGGTCGGGGTGAAATGGGGCTAGTGATACACTTTTGGGAGTCAAGAGTATATGGAAAGCCATAAGATTACCAGTGGGGTGAGCACAGAAAGAGAAGAAGTTCAATGACTGAGCCCTGCAGCAGTCTAACACTTAAAAGTCTGGGAGATGAGGAGGAACTGGCATTGCAGCAACCAATGAGCAGGAGAACTAGAAAAGAGAAGCATCCTAGAGATCCAATAAATGAAGTGTTTCAAGAAAGAGAGAGTGATGACCATGCCTACACCACAGACAGAGTGAGCCAGAAGAGGACTGGAAATTCACTTGGCACTGTGGAGGTTGCTGGTGACCTTGAGAAGAGTGGTTTTAGTACAGTGGTGAGGAACAAAGCTTGATTGGAGAGGATTAAAGAGGGAATGGGAAAAAAAGAACAGAAAGGGAGTCCAGATAATGTTTTTGAGTTTTGGTATAGAGTAAGGGCTCTCAAACTTTTCGGTCTCAGGATCCCTTTATACTCTTTTTGGTGCCTGGCCAGTAACAGGGAACTTTATACTCTTAAAAGAAATTATTGAGGCTCCCAAAGAGCTTTTGTTTATATGGGTTATGTCTTTTGATATTCAGCATATTAAACATTAAAACTGATAAAATTTATTTATTTATTTTTATTTTATTTTTTTTCCTTTTTGTCCTTCACTGACCAGTAACAGGATCGCAACCCTCGGTGTTGCGCCCGCACCACGCTCAGCCAGTGAGCGGGAACCGGTCTCCACATGGGATCCGAACCCTCGGTGGGAGCGCCGCCACGCTCCCAAGCGGCGTTTTTGTCTTTTTTACTGACCGGTAACGGGATCGCAATGCTTGGTGTCGCGCCCGTACCGGGGACGGGCAACGGGATCGCAACCCTTGGTGTTGCGCCAGCACCGTGCTCAGCCAGTGAGCGGGAACCGGTCTCCACATGGGATCCGAACCCTCGGTGGGAGCGCCGCCACGCTCCCAAGCGGCGCACTCTCCAGTGCGCCACTGGGCCGGCCCTAAAACTGATAAAATTTAAAAGAATGTATTAAAATCCATTAAAAAATAACAATGATAAACCAAAACAACAAAAAACTTAGTGAAGAGTGGTGCTGTTCTACATGTTTTCCCAAATCTCTTTAATGTCTGGATTAACAAGGGAGACAGATGGATCCCATACTGACTTGTGCATTTGATCAGTCACCAGTCACCACATCACACATCAAACAGCCTCCTTTGGAAAACTCCACTGTGTATACAAGAGAATGAAAACAAAAAAGACAAATAAGTCTTAGAATTATTATAAAAACAATTTTGTCTTGATGTACCCTCTGAAAGGGTCTTGGGGAACACTCTTTCAGAACCACTACTATACAGAAAGCAGAAAAATGGAGTCATAGCAGGAGGGCAATACAGGTTTAAGGGAATCTTTTTTTAAGACGGAAGAGTTTATATCATGCATATGAATGAGCTTAGGATATGAACTCTTCTGGTAGTATTTGCTAAAGAATATGATTCAGCTAGCAACTTCTCTTACCTTTTAGAAATGGTACAAATGAGTCAACCTCATACCATGAAGAAGTGTTATTTCCTTTTTCTGCTCTTATACGCAATTTAATTTTTTCATAAACATTTGGCTTGAGTGAAGAAAAGTTGCATTTGGTACTAGTAATATACTGACACCCAGGCAATTTTATCCAATTATCCATCTCAGGCCTTTAAAGTAAAAAAGCAAATAAATGAATGAGCAAATGTATAAATACAGAAGAGTATTAAATATATTTTCTATTTACTAATAGTTTAAGTAGTTATTTCTTCTACTTGAGTTAATGTTCTGTTAACATTTCAGTGTATGGGCCAGCCCATGGCTCACTCGGGAGAGTGTGGTGCTGATAACACCAAGGCCGTGGGTTCAGATCCCATGTAGGGATGGCTGGTTAGCTCACTGGCTGAGCCTGGTGCTGACAGCACCAAGTCAAGAGTTAAGATGCCCTTACCGGTCATCAGCACCATACCTCTGGTAAAATGTCATGACAACTACTAATTTCTTTCCTGTTTCAAAGACTAGAAGGACCACAAATGAGCTTATATCCATACCAAGCTGAAATTTGTAGAACACATATATTTTATGGAAGGAAGAATCTATTCTTTAAAGCTATTCTGGGAGTTTTTTTTTTTTTCTTTTTCTTTTTGTCTTTTTTACTGACCGGTAACGGGATCGCAATCCTCGGGTGTCACGCCCGTACCGGGGACCGGCAACGGGATCACAACCCTCAGTGTTGCATCCGCACCATGCTCAGCCAGTGAGTGGGAACCGGTCTCCACATGGGATCCGAACCCTCGGCGGGAGCACCGCCGCGCTCCCAAGCGGCGCACTCTCCAGTGCGCCACCAGGCCGGCCCCTTACCGGTCATCTTTAAAAAAAACAAAAAAACAAAAACATTTCAGTGTATGCCCTTCCACCTTTTGAGTGCATACAAACTAAGTTATTATTTATAAAATGGAATAATTTGGACATATAGTTCATTTTTTAATAGAGTTCTATATAATTTTGTGGGTGGTTGCCATTCAGATTTCAAGGAAGCAAAGAAATAGATGACCCATAAGGCAAAAGTGAATTTTGTGTTGGCTTTGTTCAAAATACCTTGACTTCTGGCAAACTATTTTGAGTTGCTGGATCTTATCTTATTAAAAATTTGGGAACTGGATTTCATGATTCCCTTCTGAGTTCCTTCTATGAACACACTTACCTGCCCTAAGGAAGACTTCAGAATCAGTACAGTTTCTGGGCTTCATTTGCCCTCTCCAAAATCAAACTATCCCTCCCGTCTCCATAATTCCTTCTATTACATCACCAGAAACAAAAAACTTAAAATGTTAACATAAATGAATAAATTCTTCAAAGTGGAACCGGTTAATCAAAAAGTTCATCTTTTTTAAAAAGGGGAAAATAGATGAAAAAATCAAGTTAGCATGGAGTGCCTACTACAGAAAGGACACGTTGCCTGCTACAAAGGAGAAAAAAGGCTACAGTAAAAGTGAGGGACAGAAAAACTTAACATATTTCAGAATTTTTGCCTGTGTTAAGGCAGAGAAGCTATCCTCCGAGATGGCAATTTTGTCAAGCTTATTTCATAGTTCCACTAGTTTTAAAAGTAATACTGTAGATATCATTTTAAAGATGCTTTAAGATATTAGAAACCAGAGACGGTATCAAACTAATTATTGTGCTGACCTCAATACAAATCTACCTTATTTTTCAAAGAGGAAACTTTTTAAAAAATTACCAAAAATATGTACTAGCCTATGGAACACTTTATTTTTGGCAAGTTCCCCCTTCCACTTTACCTGTGTGAGGTCTGAGATTAGAACTGGCATTAAAAATACCTTAAACAAATATTCCTGAAAAACTCTTCCACATCAAAATCTATTTTTAAAAATCCAGAAACTCTTATTATAAGCCGAAAATCTTATCAAAAATTTAAACCTAAGCCTTATTATGGTTTTAACCCACCGTCACCCTTTATATCTGTCTGTGTTTCCTGCTCCAGGAGAGGTGGTTGCATGTTCCATTAAAATTGCTTGTGCATTTAAGGGAGCTACTACTGCAGCAGTAGCTACTTTTATATTTTCTTGAAAACAACAACCACAACAAAAAAACCTTTATCATATGCAATAATTAGATCATAAAATAACTTGAAATATAAATAAGTAACCAATATCATATTCATTTCATAAAACTAGTGCCATAATTTAAATTCATGCCATCTTTGTCTTTCCTATTCATTGAGGTATTCTATGTGCCCAGAAGAGTGTCTGGCATAGAAGATAACCAATATTTGTTGAATGAAAGAATGAATTGTATACATTATAAACATAATAAGTTACAAATTTAGATATGTTAGATGTAAGTTACAATCACTGATATTTTAGATTCCACATGTTCTGTAGGCACTGAAATCATAATAGCTTATTTAATCATCAGTGTTTCATTTATTACCAGTGGTATATGTCCTATGTTCTGAGAAACACTATATTCAAATATACCTGTCTGATGCTATTAATTATAATTATATAAATATAATTCAGTAGATTGCTTACTTTGTGCCATTCTCCTAAGCACTTTATATACAATTATTCAATACAATTATTAAATATTCAATACTTTATATACAATTATTCAATATAATTATTCGAACTCAGAACAACCTTCTGAGTTAGATACTTTATTATTGGGGTGTCCGATCCAAGTTTACTTGGGGCAGTCCTGCTTTAAACTTGTTCCAGCTTATCTAAAATTAAGTGCCTCTTTTCACTTTCAAAAGTATCATGGTTTGGATGATAAATTATATATGGTCGTATTAGTTATTATCTCCATTTAACAGATAAAGAAACTGAGACAGAGAATAATCAGCAGAGGATGGATTTAAATGCAGCCTGGCTCAAATCCATACTACACTACGCTAGTGTTATATTGTCTCCCAAACTTGTAGTCTGACATATTCTTACAAGGTAATTGTTTATAGAGCTAGCAGAACAAAATAAGGTAAGAAAGCAATGAATAATGCATTTGATGCTAAAGTCAGAATGGAAGAGTAAAGATGATTATGGGCTGCAGAATTAATATAAGCAATAACATGTGAAGGAACAAAAGTATGAGAGCATGGTCTGTAGCTCTTTCTTCATTATATAAGGATAACCCCTTTAAAATAAGGGTCTCAAGGGCCGGACCCATGGCTCACTTGGGAGAGTGCGGCGCTGGTAGCACTGAGGCCGCGGGTTCGGATCCTATATAGGGATGGCTGGTGCGTTGAGCGTGCTGCTGAGGGTTGCGATCCCCTTACCGGTCAAAAAAAAAAAAAACAAACAAAAAACAAGGGTCTCAATAGTCCCTGCTGTATCTAAAACAGTTGTTCATAAGAAACTTCCAAACTGAGGCAAAGAACAAAACTGGTAATAAAACTCAAAGTTCAATTTAAAGAAAATCTCTAGAGATAAAAATTCTTAAATTATCAATTCTGAGAAAAGCCATATATATATGTACACACACACAATTACTAAAGCTGTGTGAGTAATACCCCAGTTTTAGTAACAATTAGAGGACAATAGTGTCCTGACTGTGGTTGAAGTGGTGGGATCCTGGTTCTGGAGATCTTGACACCTTGTTTCTTCTCTGCCTGCTTTTTTCTTGGACAGGAGAACATGGTTAACAGACAGGGCTTCAATATCTGACTAGGAGGCAAAGTACTGTACTTCCTGAGCTGTGTTCCCTTCTGCAGTCCTTTCTTCTGCAAATCTCTGAGTGCCTATACTCTTGGCAACTATTAAGTAGAAAGTCAGTACTAGCAAGGAAGCACTGAAATTCTAGAAACATCAAGTCTTTGGAAATGCAAGGTCAAATATATTGACATATACATGCTGTATCTAAAATTAAAATATTGTGTATGATGGAGATAGCAGAAAAGCCTGAGCATAGGAAGCCTAGTGGCCTATTCCAAGACCTGGGACAAGCCTTTTGGGGTACTTGCCCATATCCTCAAGATATGCTCCAGTTCACACCCAATTTATATTTATCTTTTTTTTTTTTTTTGAAAGATGACCGGTAAGGGGATCTTAACCCTTGACTTGGTGGTGTCAGCACCACGCTCAGCCAGTGAGCAAACCGGTCATCCCTATATGGGATCCGAACCCGGGGCCTTGGTGTTATCAGCACCGCACTCTCCCGAGTGAGCCACGGGCCGGCCCCCAATTTATATTTAATGAAGCTGGGACATCCAGAACAGAGAAGGTACAGCTGTGGATTAGAGAAGCTGACTACCACTCTCATCCCCAAATCTCTTCTGTTTCAATGCCCAAATAAATTTGACTAAGCATCTATTTTGTAGAAATGAAGCTACAAATATCAGGTGAAACAGACATAAAATTTCTAAAAAATGGAAAAACCAAATGTTTCTCAAATCTGAAAAGGAATTATGGTGTTAAAATTGTAAAAATTATTCAGGACTTCTGGTCAAGATGGTGGAACAGACGATCCCTGGCTTCACCCTCTCTCACAAATCAACTAACTTACAACTATTAAAAAGCAACGACAGCCAAGCTGGGGTGGCTAGAGCTCAGGGGAAGAGGAGGAAAGACCTTCATGAAGGCCAGAGAAGCCTGTGAGAGAAATAAAAAACCTCTCCAACTGTTCTGAGTCCCGGCTGCTTCCAGGCTGGAGCTGCTAAGTGCACAGAGCATGAGCCAGCAAAAGCCACAGCAGTGCCCTTCGGGTGAAGTTGCATGGAGGTGGCAGGAGAGAAGAGGGCCTTGGTGGCCTCCAGACTAGCAAGACCACTAATAGGGCTTCTGTGGACCCACATGGGAGTGAGGAACTACTGAAAAAAAGGAGCCACTCAGAGGCTGGTGAGTCATCGCAAGGGACTGGCATACAGACCATCCCATGGGAAGTGTTTGCAGCATGGGCAGTGGGGGGAGACAGGCCCACCAGAACACTGAGACACAGTAAGAACAGCTGATCTGCCCCCCAATCAGTGTAGGACCATTCAGAGGAGACTGGTCAGGAATATATGGGGTGCAGTTTGATGAAAAGACTCAGGCCCGAACCAGTGTTTCTACACGACCCAGGTGCATTGGATTTCACTAAACTTGGAAGTCCTATAAAGTCAACCATTAAAACCTGAGCTGCACAGAAAGCCTTACCTAAGGAATCAACAGCAAAGCAGCAATTTAGCTCAACCACAGAGCTCAAGTACTCGTCCCCACAGGAAGTTCCCCCATTTTAGAAGTAAGCAAAGGACAACAAATTAGTTCCAGCACAGAGTTTAAGTGGTGGGAACAGCAAATAATCCAACACAGAACGGAAAGAAAAAATAGAGTACTCACAACCAGTGACAAAGTTTTATATTAACTAGTTAAGGTCTCTTTTCACCAGAGAACACCTATAACACCTAGAAGGACCAGAAAGGGGGGACAACTAGGCACACCGCCAGCACCATGGGGCCTGCCTGGGGTCCTGAGGCCTGACCGGGGACCACCCCCCACCCCCAACCAGGCACACTGCCAGTGCCATGGGGCCCATGCAGGGTCCTGAGGAATGGAGCCAGGGACTGGACCCCCAGCCCACAACCAGGCACACCATCATTGCCACCACCAACTAAGTAAGGAGCACGACAAAAAACATCACCTCCATGTGGGTGGCCCACTACAGCCACCATAATAACCACAGCCCACGAAAGTGGATAGATGCCACAACCACCGTGCAGGTGTTCTGCCAGCCACTCCAGTGCATTGACACAAGGAGAGTCACCAGCAGAGACCAAAGAAAAGAAGAGGATGTCTCTCTCCACAAAGCCCATTCCAGAATGACAAAAGAGGCATCTGCTCTATGATAATATTAGGGGACCTGAACATACCTCTCAGCATTGGACAGATCATCTAGGCAACAAATCAACAGAGTAACCATCACTCTTTCAGAGGAGAGAAGAAATCTAGAATTATCAAGGGGGGGCGGGAGGGGGATAGGGAGAGTTTGAACAAGGGGCATAAAGAATAAGTATGATTTGTAACAATACATATGCTAGTAATATTGATTTGATCAACACATGTCAATGCTGAACCCCCAAAATATGTATAATCAATTATGATTTAATAAAAAAAAAATTATTCAGGCCATCCTGGCAAATTAAGTAGAGTAACATACATTTGATATTCTGCTGAAAAAGTCACATTCCCAACAGACTCATTGCTCCTGTTCCACTTCAGGATAAAGTTGTCATCCATGATGTAGACCTCTACATTTTGAGGAGATTTTAGTTTTTCTACACCTATATAGGTAACAAGAAAGAAGACAGTTATAAATACACTGTACAGATTTTTTTATAGTGTTATTTTTCCCCTCACATCCCTGATTAAAAGAAATAATACATTCAAATATAACAAAGTATACAAGAGATCTTCAAAAAGTTCATGGAAAATGGGTATTATGAAAAAACTATGCATGGATTGCAAAATTATTTTGCACCAAAATAAACTCATATTAACTTGTTATACATGTCTGAACAGGATCTAGTTTGAGGCACTAAGAAAAATAAGACATCAGTTTGAAAAGAGCACCTATCAGAGCAACACGAATTCTGTTGAAATGAAAGCAAACATCAAATTTATAGTGTTGGTATTGTGAAATCATGGCTGTTTTACAAAGAGTTTATGGGGACAAAGCCCAACAGAAATCAGCAGTTTACAATGGATAACTCATTTTAAGAAGGGATGAGACGATGTTGAAGGTGAAGCTCACAGTGACAGACCATCCACATCTATTTGCAAGAAAAAATTAATCTTGTTCATGCTCTAATTTAACAGGACTACTGATTAACAGCAGAAACAATAGCCAATGCCATAGACATCTCATTTGGCTCAGCTTACACAATTCTGACTGAAAAATTTAAGTAGAGCAGGGTTAGCCAGTTAGCTCACTTGTTTAGAGCATGGTGCCAATAACACGAAGGCTAAGGGTTTGGATCCCCATACCCAGCCAGCTGCCAACCCCCACCAAAACGAAACAAGAAGAAGAAGAAATAAATAAAGTTTAGCAAACTTTCTGCTTCATGGCTACTAAAACAGTTGTACCCAGATCAGCTAAAGACAAAAGCAGAGCTTTCCATGGAAATTTTAAATGAGGGGGATCAAGATCCTGAAGCATTTTTGTAACAGGAGATGAAAAATGGCTTTACCAGTATGATTGTATTAGTCCATTTCTGTTGCTTGTGACAAAAATGCCTGAAACTGTGCATGGATTGCAAAACTCCATAATTTTAAGAAACCGTGATTTGTAAGTGTAAAGCTAGTGCTAGGGCTCACAGACCCCTTGAGCCCATTGTCCAGACTGGGTCACGAACCCTCCACGTTCAGGTCTACATGCTAGGTAATAGGAAAAGGTCCTTGTAGCCATGGGTGAAGAAATAATAGGCTTTATTCTGAACTAGGAACAGTCGACCTAATATGGCTTCCCGGATCATCCTCTCAAAGCTTCCCACATCTGCGCCGGTAGTCCTTTACACTCAAGTCCATAATCCAAAAAAACACCCGGGTGCACATGCACAATCACATCAGACAAGGAACACCCATGCGCACGCACATACCCACCTCAGATGCTCGGCAAGACTCCAAACATCCAAAGAGCTCTGACCATTTTCCTTATATTTTCCCAACAGTAAGAAATGAAATTTATTGCGTACAGTTTCAGAGGCTGGGAAGTCCAAAGTCCAGAGAACACATCTGGGGGTGTGACTCTACAGGAATGCAGGGTGTCACATGGCAAGAATGGCAGAGCAGGGAGAGCACTAACCTTCTCACTGGGCTCCTTTTAAAGCCATCAGAACCACATCCATGACCACCATTCAGTATGCACAATCCTCACAATCCAATCACCTCTTCAAGGCCCCACTTTTCAATTAGCATTACAGGATTTCTCATCCTCCCAACAGTCACAGTAGGAATCAAGCTTCTAATACATAAAACTTGAGGGTCACAATTAAACTTCTATTAATGATCCTGAAGACAAAGCACAATGAAATCAATGGCTACCAAGAGGTGGAAGTGGTCCAGTCGAAGCAAAAGCAGACAGAGCAAAGGTCACGGTAACAGTTTTTTGGGGGAAGCTCAATTCATTTTGCTTGTTGACTTTCTGGAAGGCCAAAGAATGATAACATCTGCTTACTATGAGCGCGTTTTAAGGAAGTTAGCCAAAGCTTTAGCAGAAAAACACCTAAGAAAGCTTCACCAAAGTCCTTCTCCACCATGACAAAGCTCTTGCTCATTTCCCTCATCAAAAAGGGCAATTTTGCAACAGTTTCTAGGGGAAATCCTTAGGCACCCACCTTACAGTCCTGATATGGCTCCTTCTGACTTCATTTTGTTTCCTAATCTTAAAAAAGTCTTTAAACAGCACCTACTTTTCTTCAGTTAATAATGTAAAAAAGACTGAATTGACATAGTTAAATTCCCAAGATCCTCAATTCTTTAGGGATGGACTAAATGGTATCATTGCTTACAAAAGTGTCTTAAATTTGATGGAACTTATGTTGAGAAATAAAGTTCATATTTTTTATTTTTATCTTTTAATTCCATTCTTCCACAAACTTTTTGAAGTACACTTGTATTTTAAAAAATCTAAAAATCCTAATGATTGCCTTCAGCACAGGGAGGCTGTTAATTGTATCTCTGCATCTGAGACAGTTGGAAAAACTGGTGATTTTTTTTCCCCACCTATATGAGTCTTTCAATTGAAAGACAAACCATCTCTGTATAAAACAGAATTTTTCTTAGGTCTTAAAAGTGAAACTGATGTAAAGAATACAAGGTTCAAACTGTTTGACAGCTTCAATTTGGTTTCACATTCTATATTCAGAAATAGATATAGATGCTCCCTGACTTATGATGGGGTTATGTCCTGATAAACCCACTGTAAGTCAGAAATATCATATGTGAAAATGTATTTAATATCCCAATAAGCCCATCATAAAGTTGAAAAATCATAAATTGAGTTATCACAAGTTGGGGACAATCTGATAGAGAACTGATGTGATTTCAAAGGTGGCAGCTGTTTACAGGAACAGAATGCTCACATAACAAAATTGAGAGATAGAAGTATGAATATTTGTGTCAGCCAAGTCCTTCAGAAACCTACAAAGGTCTTGACTGCTGAACATTATCAAGTCTGAACCCTTCTGTTTATTTTTAAGAACTTCCATCTACGGACCTACCTTATTTCTTAGTACTCCATACACAAATCTACCAATGGGGTTACCTCCCTTCTCATTTTTCTTCTCTGCCCTCTCCAATCTGCAATGCACTTCTCTTCCTCTCTGACCACCCAAATCATCCAAAATCCACCTCACATTTGACCCCTTATAGAAAAACTTCCCTGAATACTCCAGCTCATGTTGATCTTGCTCTTCTCTTTAACTCTGTATCATTTAATCCACACAACTCAATTTCACATCTAAGTGGCTGTGTTCAGCTCTCAAATACTTGTTGAGTACAAGATGTATTTTTCTCATTTTAATTAGTGGTAAAATGCACATAACATACAATTTACCGGGCCGGCCCGTGGCTCACTCGGTAGAGTGCGGTGCTGATAACACCAAGGCCATGGGTTCGGATCCTGTATAGGGATGGCCAGTCAGCTCACTGGCTGAGTGTGGTGCTGACAACACCAAGTCAAGGGTTAAGATCCCCTTACCGGTCATCTTTTAAAAACAAACAAACAAACAAAAAAACATACAATTTACTATCTTAACCATTTTTAAGCGCACCGTTCATTGGTATTAAATATTTTAATAATGCTGTACAACCGTCACCACCATTGATCTCTCTCTCTTCATCTTGTAAAACTGAAACTCTGTACCCATTAAACAATAACTTCCTGTGAGGAAAGTGGAGTTAGTTTGGTCAGGCCCTCTTGCCTCATGTCTGGCTGGGTATGATTCAGCACATCCATTGTAAACAAGTCATGTAAGAGTAGTGTTAGTGTGCATGCACTCCCCTGTACCCTTTGGCTCGTTGTTGCCTTGTGTGTGCTCTTTGGTATGGAAGGCAGCAGCTCTGAACTGCTGGCCGGAGGAGCTCACGTCTAAGAAAAAGCGTGTCCACTTTGCCAGCAGCTGCTCAGTTTTTCACTCATTTACCTGGCTCAGGACCTGCACAGGACAGGGTAGAAGGGTCCAAGATCCAGCCCAACACTTCCCATTCCTCCCTCCCACTATCCCTAGGCAACTACCACTCTACCTCTGTCTCTATGATTTTGGCTATATTAACTACCTCATATAAGTGTAATCATACAGTATTTGTCTTTTGTGGATTGCTTAATTTCACTTAGCATAATTTTCTCAAGGTTCATCTGTCTTGTAGCAAATGTCAGAATTTCCTTCCTTTTTAAGGCTGAATAGTATTCCATTGTAGGTATATAGCAAATTTTGCTTATCCATTCATTTGTCCAGGGACACCTGAGTTGCTCCCAGATTTTAGCTATTGTTAATAATGCTGCTATGAACATAAATGTACAATTATCTTTTCAAGATCCTGTTTTCAATTATTTTGGATATATACACCCAGACATAGAATTGCTGGATCAGATGGTAATTCTGTTCAATTTTTTGAGGAACTGCCATACTGTTTTCCACAGTAGCTTTACCATTTTACATTTCCACCAGCAGTGCAAAAGGGTTTCAATTTCTCCACATCCTCATCAACACTTGTTACTTTGTTTTCCTGAGAGCAGCCATCCTAGTGCATGTGAGACAGTATGTCATTGTAGTTTCAATTTGCATTTCTCTAATGATCAGTGATGTTAAACACCTGTTCATGTGCTTATCGGCCATTTGTATATCTTTGGAGAAACATCTATTCAAGTTCTTTGCCCATTTTTGAATCAGGTTTTGCTGCTGTTGTTTTTTACCAGATTTTTAAATTAGATTATTAATCTAATTAATATTTAAATGTTTCCTTATAATGTATCATTATTTAGATTTGAGGGTTTATATTTTTAGAAATAAGGAAACTTAGGAAAAATAAACACTGAGTTTTGATTTAAGAATAGTTTTCATTTAAAAAGTAATGCACATGTCTAAAGGACAAAGTTATTTTATTCTTATTTTAAATGGAAATTCTAGATTTTCAAAACTTTTTTCCTAAAACATGCATATGTTCAAGTGAAAATGTTGGGTTTGGGTTTTAAGAATTCCCTATATATTCTGGATATTAATCATTTATCAGATACATGATTTCCAAATATTTTCTCCCATTTTATTGGTTGCCTTTTTACTTT